CTATTGGACGCTGAGATTCGCGGGCCATTTGAATAGTAGATTTCAGTGAAGCATGTGAGAGTCTAGCCTCCAGTCGATTTCTTATGTTAGAATAATTACAGAACGGGAACAGATTCACAGATTTTTGACGTAGAGGCGCGGAATTGTTTGAAATAAAGTTGTCAGATTGTTCTAAATTACATTAAAATATAAAATATCGAAGTTTGGAAAGTGGAATTTGTGAATAATTATTATTTTAATTATGAATTAGGTATAAAAAATTGAGATTGAATTTTCAATTTTTCGGGGGAGGCTTAGCCTCCCCTGCCTCCTCTGACGAGTCGCCAGTGGAACTACCCGATGGAAACTAACTATTTTATAGAGTGTGACTGTGAGCTAAAAAAAATTAAATAAGAAAATGCAAAAGGTGAAAATTGAGAAATGTCGAAAATATGGAAAGTTCAAAATACAAAAGACCTTTTTTGTCTTCTTGTTGTGAAATAAAAATGTTCAGCTGAAGGGGAGAGTGGTTAACAGTGGATCACGGGGCATAGTGAATTTTCTACCATAGCTCCAAATAATTTAGGCGCATGCGCGCGAAACTACCGTTGATTGTTCTTTTTAAATACTTCTCCTCAGCCCATCTAGTCGCTGTGATGATATCAAAGTGGTAGGAGATTCTGCGTCGCTCTGAGCAACAGGCAAGTACGAATCTTTTTTATCAAGTGTTTTAAAAATTTGTGTTATATTTAAATGAGTAATAATTCTGGGTATTTGAGTACAGTTGTATGCTTAGTACTGTTTATATCAGTTGTGAACTATGTTCTTGTGTCTTTAGTAGTATATATTAGTTTTTTTGTATAGATTTTTTTTCAAAATAACCGTCATTGGGTCACAGCGAATCGTTCTGTTTTGGGGTTCAGTGGATCAGTGATCCAATGTAACCCACAAGGATCCACTGTGACCCGCTAAGCTATAACTTAACTTTTAACTTATACTTACTTTTTAATAGGTCAAAATGCCTCGCAACAGGAAAAGAAAAACTACGGACACTACTTACTACACCGAATAACAAATGCAGAACGGTCTAAGACTTATATATCGGATGGTCAGAAAATAAGGGCTGTTGCAAGAACCACTCATATCCCATACACAATTTTAATCAGGTATTACAAGAAGATTCGGAATAACCCTGATCCTGAAAAAATAATTAGGCTTGCACCTAATTACGTAGTTCGTAAGATATTCACAGATGCGCAAAAAAAGAGCACCTACGACGGTTCAGAAATCTGCCAAAGTGCTAGCTGTCAAAGGACAAAAGCAAGTCTCCAAGGTTTCCAGCGCAGAACGAGGGACCTAAGTAACAACTTGTTACATAATTGGAGCTTTGCGCTTAGGGGAATGCATTGCCACCGATAATGATAATATTTCCTAGAGTGCATTTCCATTTCAAGCAACATATGATCGCGGACGCTCCGGCTGGAACCTTAGGCTCTTAGGCCTAGCTGCGCAATCTGGCTGGATGAAATCAGAATCTTTGCTAAGTTTTTTTAAGACCTACTGTCTTCTGGTAGAAATAAATGAGTTATAGTATGAAAACAATAATCTTTTACTGTATTTATTTCCATAGAGCCAGACTGCCCCAGTTGATTCACTGTTTCCCGTGCGCTGATCCAAACTGACCCACTCCTGGGCCACATTGGATCTTTTACGAACTTTTATTCCAAAGGCTATATGTTGAAAATTTATGTCACATTCGCCATCAAATTACCTTTTCTGTTAAGTCTTACAAACTCTTCCTACAACTAATTTGAGAAAACAGTGATTTAGCGATAAATTTTGGAACTGTATGAGTTAGAATAAAAAATGATCCACTGTTACCCACTCTCCCCAACTGTGTTTCTGTTGCACAACGTCAGAAAAACCAACTTCAGTGACTCTTCAAATATTTATTCAAAATTTAATAATACATACAATCGCTCTATTTTTTATACGCGCTCTTTTTTCGCTATTTGATCAGCTTCAGAAAAAGAGATTGGGGGGTCGCATTTCTAGCACGAGTCAGTTTGGGTTAATTTGGATTAGGTACTTTTCATGTTTTTGCTTGAAAAAAAGAAATAGAAAGGAACAGCGCCTAGTGCGGTTTTTTAACCAAAATTAACCCAAACCAACCAAAAATAACCCATACTAACGCAAACCAACCGAAACTAACTCAAATCTACCGAAAAAGTTCTGGGGCCTGTGAATAGACACAATGATTAATTTTTAAACTTTTAATAAAGGCATTTCTTCATTCGTTATCGCATTTCGCATTAAAACGTACAAACAGATAATAATAACTGCCATTTTCCAACTGAATTTTTTTAGAGAATATTTTCCCGAACGTCAGTCAGGCTCTAAACTGCCAACGTTAGTCCACTTCAATCATAATTTGCCTACGCTGTGCTCGAACGAACACGAAGCCGAAGGTCCTATCACGTTGGCAGAAAATAAATATGCGCCCGGGACACATCTATCATGCATTCTTCCGATCCGATTCCGATCATACAATCAGGGTCCTTATTCTTGGAACAGGAAGCGAGTGTTCCGCTGCTCCCCTGTTCCAAGAATCAGGACCTTGATTGTATGATCGCAGTCGGATCGGAAGAATGCATGATAGATGTGTCCCTGGCTTAATACATGGCGATTTTCGATTTACCCCTATTATGAAAAATGGCTATAAGTTTTTTGTTTATAAATTTTTTTTCTTTCTGTTAAAACTTCTTTGGGATACTTTTTTGAGCACAATCCCGTGGCGTTCTCAGTTTCTTTCTATTTCGCTCCCATTTTGAGATATTAATCAAAGTCCGATTTTCTTAAATAGGACACCCTATATATTAATAGCTTATTGGATAGCTCTGCTTTTGCTGATTTCAATGATATAAAGTTCAATGGGTTTATCTCTAACAGTTTTCGAGAACAAAAATTATATCTGTTTCAGACATAAGAAATAATATGTTAGAAAGATACCTTCGTCATTTTTCTTTTACATATAAAATCCTGTTCTAACACATTGGTCCTTACGACAAAAAGAGATATAATTTTTTTTTCTCGAAGACTGTTAGAGATAAACCTATCGAACTTTATATCATTGAAATCAGCAAAAACGTAGCTATCCAATGAGCCATTAATATATAAGGTGTTTCATTTAAAAATATCGGACTTTGGTCGATATCTCGAAATCGGAGCGATATAGAAAAAAACTGAGTTCGCCACTAGATTGTGCTCAAAAAAGAATCTGATATGTTTTTACAGAAATAAAAAAAATTGATAAATAAAAAACTTATAGCTATTTTTCATAATAGGGGAAAATCGAAAATCGCCCTGTATCAATTGTATCATTGAAGATATCGTGATACGGTTTTTGACAATCGACTTTTTTCGAAAATCGATCCCATGACGTCTAAGTCAATTTTCCTTTATCTGGTCTGGAAGTAGGTTTTTCCTGTTAAAACACTCCAAATTGCAGGACCCTGTTCATCGACCCTTTAGTTCATATTGCCTGTGGTGACTTCCACGTTTTATGTTTTACTAGTAAACTTATTTCGTACCTATCTAAATTTGAATTATCTGAATTTTACCTGTGACATTTTTTAGTTGAAATTTTGCTATTTTTGTCATGTTTCTTCCAAAATAAAGGTTAAATTCCTGGAAGCAATTTAACTGGTGTGAAATCGGTATACAACTGGCTTTTTAATTGTTTATAATGCCCTAGGGCGTTATGAAAAAAATAATCCCCAGAATAATTATATCTGTAAAAAACCTGAAATTAGGTTGATTATACATGGCTATCATTACATGCAATGATCATGTAATGATAGCCTTTAATACACGTAGGATACGGAGCGAGCCGCAGGCGAGTTTCGTTTATAACATGCGAGTTAAGGCAACTTGCCAACTCAATTTCATGGTTACCCTGATGTGTCTGGCTCTAGGCCATATCCCAGGTCTCCTACTCGGTTCATTCGCTTGAATCTTCAATTATAAACTTTGTAAAAGGCATATCCATGATTTGCCTAAATCAATCGCTGAAGCTGGATATAACCTGTTTCTGTCAAAATAAACAGCGTTTTCATAAGTCTCCGACTCTGGCCGCCATTTTGCCAACGTTTCCACGCGTGAATTTTCTGTTTATCTAGGAATCTGAGCCGGCTTAGTCAAAAGACGCAACAAATCCACGGAAGGCGATGAATCTCGGTTTTTAATCGCGGAGGTGAGCTAATTGGTCTCTACACGCCTCTAGTGCACCACCCGGGTGAAGCTCTTGGAGTTCCTTAAACCAACCGATCACACTCTGGCGAGAACAAATCGAGACTCGAAAAAATAATTTCAGTACGCGTTCGCCGTTTCTTATGGCGTTTTCCATTTGTCGCCTCAGTGCAGCACTCACTGCGCGCGAGAAATTTTCTGGTGCTGTCAAAAACGCACACTAGTGCAGTATAAATAGAAATCAAAAATGCAATGTATCTCAAGGTTATGCAAATACCCAAAATTTTAAGAGGTTACTTATGTACTAAAATCATGATAATCATAATGTTTGTTGGAATATAAAAATTGCACTGAGTGCACCTCGGTGCAACAAATGGAAAAGGCTATAATACATCCCCGCTACATCCCTGGTAATTCCTATAAATCCGAACTACATCCTGAGTACATCCCCGGTAAATCCGGTAAATCCGAAGTAATTCCTATACATCACCATACATCCTAAGATTTTTAAAGATCTCCCTGTACATCCCCAGGAAATCCTCATAAATCCTTGTGTGTGTACACCATAAATCCCCATGTGTTCACCCCTCGGGAAAACCATACGAAAATATACAAAACTGTATGATTATCCAAAAACTGTAGGTACATAGGAAATTGTATGATTATTCAAAAACTGTACTACATAGGATATTGAATTGCATAAAGAACTGTCATTCCTAGTATTGGGGAACACCATTCCTGGGGCTACAGATAATTAAATAAAACTACAAAGATTATTTTCCCTACATTTATTTCAACGCAATCTCTCCAAACCACTATTTAATAGACAAAAAGTCACCGCACGTAAATCGTAAGTACTTCAGGCTATTTCTATTGCAACTTAACTTTGAACCAAAAAGTGAAAAAAATCACGTAGACAACCAAAAAGTTTATTATAACATGTTTCATACATCACCCTCAAATTTAATTTGACAATTATTTCCCTTTATACAAAAATACTTTAATAAGAATAAATAGTTTGCTTGGAGCAAATAGATAATAAATAAATAAATAAATAAATAAGTAAAATCACGCATTACGAAGCAATCAATAATGAAATAAATCACAGACAAAAAGTTATTAATATCAACAAAAAACAAATATCATCATCAACATTAAATACATCACATTAAAAACATAATCTTGTAGCTGCCAGATTTTCACCTATTGATGGATGCAGGCAAAACGATTGCTACAGTTTGAACAATTATGTACTTATTTATTAATAATGTGTGGTAAGAAAAACTTTTATATTATTAATATCATACGAGGGGTTAATTTTTCTAACGCTTATATATTAAATATTACACTAGAAAAATCGCAAAACATCTTTTTTTTTTGTATAGTAAAAACTACCAACTATTAAGTTGGTAGGTCATACCATTATTTTTTTCTATGTACAGGGCTTTTGAAGGATTGTTCAAAAAAGGAACACAATTTATATGAACTAGAAGGACGTAGTTTGCCCATTTTATGTGGAAAACAAAGTGACACACCCTTCAATGTCTTATTAAATTATACATTATCCAAATATTATCTACACATTTTTTGTTGTTACGTGGTAACAAAATTTTCGCGTTAATTTAATTTTTCTACTTAGACGCTAAAATGACGATACATTTTTTCCTAAAGAATTGCACGATCCCCGACCCCAGGAAATAATTTAATTTTTTTTTGGAATATAGAGTTCTTTTCTCTTATATTTTAACTAATAATATTAATTGCTATAAATATTATATCTACACTTGAATGATTCTTTTTAAAATTACAGATTTTTTTCTTTTGGAAAAAGTGCCTATTGTTTTAAAGAAAGTATTTTTACAATAATTGTTTCGAAAATTGGTGTAAAGTTAAAATACACGCTACTAATTTATTCTAAACTAGCACAACAATTTATATAAAGTCTGTTCTAATCTTATCAAAAACTTGATTGGTTTTTAGTAATATTGGAATAAACTTACGGACAAACAAAAGTATCAAAAATGAAAAATATTCATGTTCAAATGAGTGCGATAATAATATGGTTTTGAGTGGGCATTGAAAAAATCTTTAGTATAAAATTGTTGGCACGTCATTTGAACATTTGCAATTATACCAGCACGCAAAGCGATAAGTATTAATAGACAATTTATTGATTTAGTTGTGTACTTTTTTAAAGTTTCTGAAATTGAATGGTTATTGGATTAAAAAGCCACACTGCTAAATCAATAATCGAAACTTAAAAACAAACAAGCAAGTTTGGCCTTTATTTTTGAGACTGATCTAAATTTCGTTATTCGGAAAAAAAGTTTTTCAGCATTTTTTTTATAATTATTTACATAAATATATTGATCAGCACCAATCACTGCTTTAATTTTTTTCTAATATTCAACCAATCAAAACGTGTCGTTTTCCTTAACAAACCTACAACATTAGATAAAATATTATTGGAAAAGCGTTTGATTGATGAACACTCAACTTTTCTCTGTTCGCGGCACACTTTCTTATCTCCAGCCCCTTTTCGGAAAAATCTGATGCTAGACCTCGCAAGGTACCGGCGGTATTTCGGCTAAGCTAAGCTTGACGACTGTAGCTTGTTCCTTACGTCAAGCCGCCTGGGTACTGCCACTGTTACACGACACCACTGGTACTGTTTGGCAACCCATGGTGGAAAGATTGTTGCTGACAATGTGGCCTATGCCGAAGGCTTTCAGCTCTGAGAAGATTTCAGTGAAGTAACCTGAAACATACTTATTAATCCAACCATTTAACTTGATATATAATAGTAGGTACCTACAAATAGTAGCTAGATAGAAAAAGTTTTTAATAAGTATATCTACTTCCAATTTGCCTAAGCCCTTAGAGAGAAAAAATTACGAAAATGCCTAGTATAACAATAAAACCATAATTTTGGATCCCTTTTCGAGGTTTTACGATACTGTAACGGCCGCCAGTGTGTCAAGAATTCTAGGCTGTCGAATACCCTAGAATTTACAGATTCCTATAATCTAGTATATTCTACTTAATCAGCTGGTATTTAGAAGTTTAAAGTTTAGGTTTGGCTGTTATGCGATTCAGATAGTGATGATGTTGCGAGTTGTAAAGAGTTTAATTGTTGAGTCAGTTATTGCGTGCTGTGTTAATTGGACTTTGATTTTGGAATAAACGAACCCAAGATTTCTGTCAGGCAACCCAGAGCCGTGACAATATTACTACGACTTAGAAAAAGCATAATCATAAAACGGAATTGGGATATTAGTTGTATGGTTTTAGGGCTGATAAAATTTTCTACCCAAAGACTTAACTAAATCTATTTTTATCTTACCTGGTTCCGCATTGATGCGCAGCATATTGGAAGAAAGACGATTCACTATTTCCAGGCACCTATCCCAAAATTTCTCCTTAGAATCCTCGACTAAAAATGGTTTGAGCGGATAGGAAATTTCGTTTCCTAAAAAAAACAAGTTTGACTATTTGACTGTTCTTTATCAATAGTTCGTTTCTATATATGCATTGAAAAATCGATTGGTTCTATTTAGCAAACAGTCAAATCAATACTCACCCATATACGAATAAGATAGATACAAGCAAGTGAGTACCACAGCCTGGAGGTCTTGTTCACAATCAATGTCTTCTTCGACTAGATCTCGTACTAGCATGTAGACGAAGACAATGTTGGCGGGATTTATGAAGGCGACGTCCTGAAAATGATAATTACATTGGTTTCGCTTATATAAAAGACCAAAAATTTAAAAAACCAGCAAACAAAAGGAGAAAAAGGTCAAATACCTGGCGAGACGCCTCTTTTTTGTGTTTAGTTATTTAGAGCTGTCTCTCTTTTTTCAAGGCACTTGTTGCATGTTTCTTTTTGGAACAAGTGTTTTGACATCTTCAATTAAAATTCTTGGTTGATATAACGATATAATGATATCAACAATTTTCGGGGAATGAAAAATATTCTACATGTGTACTATTAGGATGGCTGACAAGACCAAGAAAAGTCTGGAGAGGGTATTGACTTGAATACATATTTTTAAGACAAAGTATCACCTGAGAAAATCGGCTATGATCGATTTGTTTCCCGAGTGAAATCGTTGTCGTAGATGTAATTAAATCTCCAATTTTTTTTACATCAGACAATCATGAAGCCTCACAAACTCTTTATAGAAAAAGTGTAATTGCTTTTTGGCAAGTCTTCAATCATTGTGTATATAAGTCTAGCCTGTGACAGCAGGGTCTCGGACGATTGGGAATTGATAGGTGAAAAAATAAATAGGGCAAATAAAATACTAGTCTTTAGATAAAGTGACATATTTTGCAGCTAAATATCTCAAAAAAGAGAAAAGATAACGAGATGCGTTTGTTCTGCTGTTGCTGAAATTTTGCTTTACAAACATCAAATTACTGCCTTATTTTCAATGAAACACCCAGTATATTTTGTCATCGACAGAAAGCCTGATTTTTCTACTTTACAAAAATGTAGTTTTAGTTTATCTAGGGACACCCTGTTGCGAAGAAATCCAATTTATTTTCAATGTGTTAGTTTTTGTGGGTTTGCCTTTACAAGATGTAGCCACAGACACGTGATAAAGTTATTATCTGTGCACAGCTTAATTATCACGTTGGCCAGTAAAATATTTAATTCTAAAATCAACACAGTTTATTGGATTAGTCTCGAAGACTTTTAAATGTTTATTCAGACACCGCAAAAATCGAGATTTCTCATATAATTATTCACTCACAGGCCTCATGTACTTTGAATAGTGTTTTTAGAGTCTATTGGCCTCTCTTTAGTGTCCATGATAAATTAAATAGAGGGTCTGAATAATAAATTTGTCAGTTAAAGAGGGGTTTAGAGAGTTTATTCGTGACGCAGATAACAAACGGCCATCGAACTGATTTTCTCTGTGTTAAAAACCAAATTATCCCACCTGAATATATCTTTTGCAAAGAGAAATATACCTATTTGCACAGGCATTTTTATTTTCTTTTACTTGAATAGTTAAATTGTTAGGGAACGTTCCAAATTTCTCAGCCTATCAAAAAAACATTTCTAGTCTCATATGCAATAAAATCCTCGTATATTGCTCCATCTCGCCTAAATTGTGCCATTATCCTGCTCCATATAATCCAAAAACGGCTGTTTTAATGGAAAACTCTATTCGGTTGATAGTAACCTCTTATTTTCCATTATTTCGGAGAATGTTTAGCAATATTATTTCTAGGCACTTTAAATAATCCATCAGCATTCAAAGTATCCTGGCAACAAACTTTAAAATTCATCCCTCGTTTGAATCAGACCCCCTTGAGACTTGGGGTGAATGCGTTTAACGTACCCCCTTTATATTCATGCCGAGTGAAACGCAATTTCGAATGTATACAACTTGTCTGAAAAGTCATCCGAATGTTGAATGACCATCATAAACTAAAATTCATATACCTACGCACATTCATAATATGTGATTTTTTAGGCACTAACACATTATTTTTTTTTTGTCGGAAAAAGTGTAGCAAAAGAAAACTACAATTTCTGAAACTCTTGACCCTAATCACTTTGTAAAATATATTTGACGATACTCGTGGGCTTAGATGATTAATAGATTCTAGAAACCTAATTTACTGACCCAAATAAAAAAAAAATCAGTTTCTACTTGATTACCCATAAGCGCAAGCCATACAATTGCGACTCTCAAAAGGTCAATATCCTACAAAAATCAATGTTGACGCCCTTAAGTAAAGTTCTTTTATATATTCCCGTGTAAAAGACGTAATACTAGCCGATCTATAAAGTCAATCCAACCGCCGCTGCTTCAATAGGATCAGCATCCGATAATCCCATCAGGCTTCGAAAATGGGGTGCATCAAAATAAACCAACCCCCGGACGTCCTAGGAAAAGCCGTGTGGCTTGAGGGTGGAAATGTCTAGCGTAAAAGCAGAACCGGATCGTTCCTTGAATAAATTTTTATTTAAATAATTAAACATAGACTGGTCACGCATACATATTCCCATTAAAAATCCATTAAGTTATATGTTCGTGGTAGAAGGTTTTGAAATTTAACTTTTCAAAAACTTTCGATCGATAGTGGTTTCAAGCATTAGCATTAGATTACGCAAATTAATTGCCCTTACGTGACTAGGGTAGTAATTAGTATTGTTTATCTTTATAATTCCACTAAAGGGTAGATGGCTTAAAAAAAATTCGAGTACTTTTGTATCTTGTTAAATCATGACCCAGAGAGTTTTTTATTAGATGCGATTTTTAATTAAAATTTGTGAATTCTTTTTCCGAAATTAATAATTTCAATCTTGCAAAGTAATTGATGAACTTCCTTGCGAGAAGTTCAGGGTCTTCGTAGGAAACTCAAACGCTGAAAGCGACACAATAGAAAAACAAAAATCCTGGAAATGAGCAGCGACAGCTAACGCGAGAGTGGCTTTCAACTAAATAAGCAACTCTTCCCTTTTAAGGCTTTTAATTTCGACGAAAGCGTGTTGTTGTTTTCAGCTTGTGTGCGTTTCACATACATTCAGTAATTTAGAAAAACTCCTACAACAGTAGCATTCAAACTTTTACTACAATCTTCCTGGCTATGACACACTTTTATTTCAGTGTTAAATTGGTTGTTTGGTAGTTTTGTTGATAAATTTATAAAATTTGTAAAGAGAAACAGGTTCGCATCAACATATCTACCGGCTGTAGGCCCATGCTGTTGACTGATCACAATCTGATGAAATATTTTTGGAAGAATATTTTCAACGCACTGCTCAAATAGTTTAAGAATTCTAGACAGGATGCTGATAGGTCTATAGTTTGTTCCTGACTTGTGAATAGAGCTTCCACATTTCTAGAAAAATTCCTGAGTGAGGATTTGTTAAAAATAATAAATAGAGGGAGATACAGAGTGTTAGAACAAGATTTTAGTACTTTGTTAGGAAAACCAGCTGGTCATGCAAACTTGTTGATATCCACTTGCTTTAAAGCTCTCTCAATATCGGTTGGGTCTATGACAATGCTTGAAACAAACCGATCAGCAAAAATTCTGGCGTTGGAATTTCTATTGGGGGTTATAGACAGAGGAAAAATAAGCACCAATAAGATTAGCTATGTCAACACCGTTGGACGCTATTTTTGTCGTCAGAAACATTTCCTTAGGAATGGTACCCTGATTGGATTGGGAATGAACAAAATTCCATAAGACTTTCCCATTGGTGCCTATGGCCCTTTCAGTATAATTTGTAGCACTTCTTGGTAAGGCTTTTACAATTTCTCCGAAATGCGTTAAATGCAAAATAATCCGCTTCACTATTCAACTGCTTGTATTGTTTGTAAGCAATTTTCATAAGAAAATCCGATAGGAAATTTACTTTTGCTGACCAGTTAGTTACAGACTACTGGATGATTGAAAGCTTGCTTCATTCCTAATGGGCACTTACTGTAGAGTAGATTGGAGCTGAGATTGGGTTGGCGAAGTACCTGAAGAGTTTGATACAGTTTTTATGGAATTCAGGGTTGCAGTAAGTAGCTAGAGCTCATTCTCGAGCCTTAGTACCTAGCCTAGCTGTAAATCTTTCTTACTCTGTTCTGAGTTGGGCATGACAAGGCTGGCGTTATTTATTCCCGAAAGATTATCGCCTGCAGCAATGTTTGATGTTTCCAGTGCAGAAATAGTGGCTTTGAGTTCACCAACGCTGTTGGTAGCAACATTCAGATTCGATTTTAAATCATCATAGTTAGCTGTAAGCTTGTCTTGAAGGGATGAATTCATACCCTTGAGCTTACTTGTAAGTTTATTATAGAGTGTGTCACACACTTCACTGGTGACATTCTTGATAAGCAATCTCAAGCCACTGCCATCATCAATATTAAATTTATAGAACGCAAGTTGAAATGGAAGTTTTTTTATACAGAATTCCTGTGAATTGTGTATCACCAAATCAAAACGAATTGGCAATAAACAGTTTGCCATCCCCAGACTTAAAATTTTTTTTGAAAAATTCATCCTGGTACTGGAAATAGCTGTTGTCAAAAACGAAGATCAACAGGTCTATGAACGTTCGTAGGGGAATTTCGACTTGTTGTCTATGAGATGCCATTTTTTACTCACAACATTAACAACTACATCTGTAGGGATGTTTGTGAATAATGAAATAAAATCCAGAGATATAATCTGGTAGTTCATTGGTAACTTAATACTTAATAATTTCGGCGAAATCAAAGGAATCTCTGACATATGTTTCGTCCTTAACAAATAAGTCATTCAAAATATTGGGTCAGTTAAGTTAGCCCCCCCCCCCATAGAAAATTTCTGGATGAAAATTATCCCATAATTTTGCTCTCATTTTGCTCCATTTTGTTCAAATAATTTCGATTTTTGCTCCATTACAGTGGAGAGACTATGTGGCCTATTAGGTGGGAAGGGACTGAATTAACGCTAGCCCCCCCCAGTGAAAATTCAGAAATTTGATCGTGCTCATTTTGTTCTACGAGTTTTGCTCCATTTTGCTCCACTATCGGCGAGTTTTGCTCCATTACCAGAAATGACCTACAGAGCTCTCAAGAATCTTTTCCACCCCCCCCCCCCCCCCCCCCCCCAGTGAAAATTCTGAAATTTGATCGTGCTCATTTTGTTCTCCGAGTTTTGCTCCATGATCGGCGAGTTTTTTTTTTTTATCTATTACATAAGAAATCCAATGACGGATTCATAAAGCACGAAGAAAAAGAATGCGCTTTTTATTTTGTAATTGTGTGCGCCGAAACTCACGCATTTTCTCGGCCGCGCCCACAAAAACTATAGAACATTTTCGAAAGTTTATTGGCGAAATATTTCGTGAGTTTTTCTTGTCGTGTAAAACAGGAAAAGTTGACTTACGAAATATTTCGGCAACAATTTCGTAAGTAATTTCGTGAAGAAACTTTGCCGTGTAAAACGGCTCTAACTGATTTTTAAGCGTTCGAGTGCAAAGCGCATTGAGTTTAATGGGCGTGAAATGCTCCAGGTGCTTCGCACACTGCACCCGAAAGCGGCTCTGGAATGAACTACACAGCTCCCAGGAATCTCTCCTTGCAACACGTGTGAAAATTTTGGAGTTTCTATATGCGTATTTTGTTCTCCGAGTTTTGCTCCATTTTGCTCCATGATCGGCGAGTTTTGCTCCATTACCTGGAATGATCTACGAGCTCCTAAGAATCTCTCTTAGCCGTCCCATACCAGTGAAATTTTTTTTGATCATATTCATTCTGCTCTCCGAGTTTTGCTCCGTTTTGCTCCATGATCGGTGAGTTCTGCTCCATCACCTGAGCTGCTTTCGGGTGCCACGCTTTGAGCACTCAGGCGCTCTGAAGCTACTCTCATTTTCCTCGCCTCTTTTTCCTGATGCACCTGTAATTGATTTTCAAGCATTTGAGTGCAAAGCGCATTGTTTAGTCAACAGGCTATTAAGTATATCTCAATCGTTTTGATAGGTTTGATAGGTTCATAAAATCTGTCACTATGAGTCCTGTGGCTTCCTCTCCCCCTTCAGACGTCGTCCGTCATGATCTGTGCTGTGGGCTTCAACAAAGGCGGAACACACGTTCTCATGGAAACGCTGCTCCCCTGTTTCAAGAATAAGGACCCTAGAGGTCATTCCAGGTAATGGAGCAAAACTCGCCGATAATGGAGCAAAATGGAGCAAAACTCGGAGAACAAAATGAGCATGATCAAATTTCTGAATTTTCACTGGCGGGGGGGGGGGGGCTAGCATTAATTCAGCCTCCCCGCACCTAATAGGCCACATAGCCTCTCCACTGTAATGGAGCAAAAATCGAAATAATTGGAACAAAATGGAGCAAAATGAGAGCAAAATTATGGGATAATTTTCATCCAGAAATTTTCTATGGGGGGGGGGCTAACTTAACTGACCCCAAAATATTCGCCAGAAAGGCAGTGATATTATATAGGGTAATCATTCTTGTGTATCTTTGGTTGAAAATAAATTTTAGGGGGAGTGGCAGCATTTGCTTTCAATTTCTTACCTCGTTCGTTTTCAATAAATCCCTCCTTAACAGGAGAGTCAATCATTTTATTATTTTTATTTTGAATTGTAATGGTCGGGTCTCTTTTAAGCATTTTATATGTCATCTGATCACTTTTTTAGATTTCTCCAAATACTCATATTTATTCATTATGACTGTGGTGTTGCTTTTATCTCTGCTTTAAGAACCACTATTTTATCTTCATTAGTCCTCAAAAAATTTGAAGTTCGTTTTGAGATATGACTTAGCTGCTTCTCCTTATAATCCTGGGGTTTATTTGAACGAACAAACTTAGAAACTATGTTGATACATTGGTTTCTGATTTGTATCTTAATTTCATCATCAAACTTTTCTAAAATGCATTCAACATCAACAATAAGATCTCTAACAGGGTATTCATTATTTTTATAATATGGTAAATTGAACTTATCACCTAAACTAAGTATATAGGTACTGCACTTCTCTTGGTATCTCGACATTAGGAGTATCAAGTTACCAATGAACTACCAAGTTATATCTGTGGATGTTATTTGATTATTTACAAAAATACCTACAGATGTGATTGTTATTGTGTATAATCTGTACTGTACCTACCAAACAACTTCGTATACTTTTCATTGTAGAGATATAGAAAGTCAATCTCAAATGTAAGTACCCAACATTGTCTCACCTTTTTGTAGTGTCCTGAAGATGCAATAATATATTGCGAAACGTTGACAATCTGTTTTTTTATTTCGATCTAATCCCAAACAAAAGCTCAATCAATTTTTATTCACAATTTTTAAAGTTATAATGCGTGTGGTTCTAACCCAGATACTTTAATGAAAGCTCAAAAACATCATCGCGCCTCGCTTTTGACCTAAATAAAAAGCTCATAGCAAAACATAGAAGAGCCGCCATTTGTCCGTTGCACCGGCCCTGCTATGCCAAGTCGGGACAGGGACGCGATCGATCCTGCAACATTCCAATTCATTCTTGAACTTTGCCCTAGAACAACGACGTCGTGAGTTCATTTGGGCTCACGGGCAGTTATATGCAGCTAGAGAAATTAAAATAAACCTTTTTTTTTTTAAGTTGAAGCTATAGTAACCTTTTTTAAGGATCGGCTGCAAATCCTTGAGTTTCAAGAATTATTGCAAAACGAAATTGTTCCTTGCAAGGAAAGTGTGATATTATAAGTCATAATAAAATTGTAAATATGAGAAAAGTGTCACGAGAAACAATATTTATTGATAGTGGGCGACAAAATTTTCCTATATTCAAGAATATAAATTTTCTGGAAATGATATCGCTGTCTTTATTTACGAGCAAACAAAGCCTTAGAATTTTCGCCTCTATTTGAATTTATCGTTTTGCAATATGAACGCTTTGTTTTAGGTTTATATGTATGGCATTTTCGAAACAAATGTCTAGATTTATCAAAATTTTCTACAAAAATAAAACACAGACAGAGTTGAGTTTATTTGAGGCTTATCCTAACATTATTATCTAAAACTGTTTTTGAGTTACTCAATCTATCACAGAGTTAATTACGAAAGTGGCCCTATATTCTTGAATTCCCATAGCTTTCAAAAAATTCAGATTTTTAAATTTCTCCTCCTCGTCGTGTCAGTGTTTGAATATACGATATTAGAAAATTTAGATTACTTTGGAAACTGAAAGCCTCTGGACCAGCTGTAGAATTTAAATTGAACTGAATTTTTGCTTAAACATTTTTATGGGAATACTTTCTATGGTAAGCGGGTTGTCAGAAATGTTATGCATTATTTAGTAAAGAAAATGTGTATCATTACCGTATACATTATGTATTTGATAGAGTATTCATGACGTCAATAATTCTAAATAGAAAATCTATTTGTGAGTAGACTAGAAATATTATTACGATATTTTGCAATTACTGAAGAATAATAAATCCAAATTTAACTCTGTTATGTATGATAGACGTTACATGAAATAAATTTTTGTTGAGTTCAACAGAAAATAAAACAAGATTCTTGCATAAGACACATTGAAACGATATGGATATGTAGAGTCGAAAAACAATAAAGATGGCGGGAAATATTAAAACTTTCCCACCAGAATCATCTTTATTTGGTTACTATAAACGCAAAAAGTACTAAGACTAAATCAACAATCTACAAATCCTTACCTGCCATCCTTGTAATAAAAGACTTCGATCGACAGTCCTCAGCCACATAACGGCATCGCCGGCTTGAAAGTCCCTCAATTTGTAGCATCTTGAATCCAAAAACATCCCCAAACATTTCAACAACTCCGAAGTAGAAGCCTGAATCACAGTCCGTCTAGGTCCGGCCACCGGAACGACCTGATTCGACTCCCTTTGACTCGGCAAGCATTGTTTATTCGTGAGTTTTTCACAGTGCAGATTGTAGTTTGTATTGTTGGCATTGTTCACTCGAACAATGTCGAGTGCTAGAGCTGACTTTGAGGTACTGTTGTAGTATGACGATGGCTGTTTGTTGGACTGTTGCTGCTGTTGGATGTTCTTGTTTTTGTCCACTGGCGGATGGATGTTGTCCAACGGTTGTCTGAACACTGTGATATTTTTATTCTTGATGTTTTCTTGTTTCTTTTTGTTGTTGTTTGTAGTGGAAAATCGTTTCCACGAAAGGGCGTTTATAAACAGGGAGTGCTTCTTCAGATTTTTCTCTAACGCATTTTTCTCCGATATTATTCGCGCATTATCGTTATTATTTATATTGTTCAACGTTTGCGTATTTGAATGACTTAAATTAGCTTTGTTACTTGTACAGTCTCTATTGTTTTTTACATTGTTCAGTTGTTCATAAGAAAAATTATTTAAGGCGAAGTCTCCAGTGCTCGTAGTGGTGTATAGAGGCCTTGCCCTGTCGCGGGGCGAAAAACTCAGCACAGTACCCATGACGAACGATCTATCAGCACTAGCACGTGGAACCCAAAACACGAAAATACTTTCTCGGCAACAGTCACGCACTACGAGCTGACATCATTTTAAATGGAAAATCCACCCTCTGAAGAAAACTCGCAGACCCTGGGAAATCTTTCCGACGGGGTCGATCGGACACTGCAGCGAGCATGCCCGCGGTTGCTGGGAAACACGAACGTGATGTCACGGAAAATCAATATGCAGGAACTACCCCCCACTAAAGACATTTTCAGAGGAGGATCTTCTTTCTGTTGTGTTTTTTTCAGAGTTGTTTTTTTATTGAAACAAATTGTTGCTTGAATTGAAGCAAGAGTACTATTACCTACCATAAACTTAGCATATTATATCAAAATATCAATAATTATTATTGATATCTGTCATACCAGCAGTCGAGTGCATCCATCAGGAAACTCTCCATCGTCATAGATGCGGGATAAGTGAAAAAAATACATTAGCAATTTTTAATTTTTTATTAATAGCAAAAGCACAAATGAGATAAGTAACGATCAGTGTGGTCCTCGTTCTTTCTCCTGTTTATACGTACTGGCTCACTCACTTACAAACTACGCGCTTCATATACAAAACCGTTTAATCAAGAAATCTCTAGAATCACGTAAATGCGTTTTGATCGTTCACAGTTTGGCATGGGCGCACCAATATAATAAAGTGAAGGATATTATATTGACATTCTGTATCAGCTTTCGTATTCCTCTAGTTTGTTGGCGATCTATTGCTGGTTTCCCTTATATGTTCAAAAATGGTTCGATGTCACTATCTTCTGATTGATCAAGTTTGAACTGGGCGTGGTCACTTGGATAACATTTTCCTGCGTTGCTCTGCAGTTCACCAGAAGGATGTTTGATTTGAAAATCGTACTGCTACAACTCCTCCATCGAAGGCTGAGAAACACCAGAAGGAAAGCGAAATATCGGCAATTCCAACTATTCTCATGTTGCAGTTCAATATTGACGAAGATGAAGGAGAGGCTGAAACAGTACCTAATGTTGAACCAAGTCCAAGCGGCAGTAATGATATAACTGGTTATTTTCATTACAACCTATCAAATGTCCTCCGTGCATGCGCATTGGTTCTGGTAGGGCGTTTCAACCAATAGGCAGGCTGGTTTACAATTCAGGTTATTTAATGTCATTACTGCCGCTTGGATTTGGTTCAACTATGGTACCTACCTATAATGATACAATGGATGTGAATAGATTTTACACTCACCGCTTAGTAAATTATATCTGTTATTTAGAGCTTATACCTACACAAGAATAAAAATAAAAAGCCAAAATCCTCCATCAACACCTCTCTCTGTAAAAGAGGTATCGACCCATTGTCTAAGCAACGCAATTTTAAAATAAGCCTATAGGGTAGCCAAAAAGGGGTTGCATTTTTTAACAAATCTAATTTCGCCGAGGGGTTGGTTGAGGGGGTGTGCAATTTGTTTGGGGTGACGCAGATAATGCCGAAAAAGATATTGATGAATGGAATTAGATGCGTCTGAGGAATCCCGGATGTTTAATTAACTTGTGCAGAGGGGCTGATAGTATATAATGTGTCAAAAGGCGTTTCGGAAATAAATCTTGTTGAGAATATAATATAGCTTTGTATTCATACAGTTAGGTATCAATATTTTATGAAATTTGATACAGAATGAACATTCCCAAATTAATGCAATTGAAATTAACAAACCTTTTGACCAAATACTACAAAATAGGCTTCTTCAACATTAACCAACATGGATGCAGGTCCAGGACGCAAGTTATCCTATGATGTGATTTTTTACTTAAGACTGATGCAAACTAAGAACAAAACGGAGTTAGATAGAGACTGCTGCTTGCCTGGTTGAAGAACTTCCTTGTTGGTCTCCAGAATATATTTCCCAAAAATACAGCTAACGAAACACCATCAGCGACAACAGTAAAGCCTACAAAAAAGTGTTAATTTCAATAAAATCAACAATCTTCATCACTACTAAACGATTGAGCAACTTGTTCTTCAGGCTGCTTTAAAAGTGCAAGGATCATTTAAATACTACTATTTCTTAAGCAGACTCATTCCTGCAATAATAACTTTAAGCTTCTTAGTTGAATAGCAATTCTTAAATATAAACAAAAAGTGAGAATTTCTCAATGGCAAAATTCTATTCACAGATGTGTTATGAATAGGTACCTTAGAATGCCACTTGGCCTTAAAAACGCACCAGCAACGTTCCAGAGTGTGATGGATTCAATACTTGGAGGAATACGAAATGAAAAATGTTTAGTGTATTTAGATGGCATGATAATATTCTCAACGTCATTGCAAGAACACATAAAAAATATAAAAGCCGACGACTTAGAGACTTCAATTTTGAAATACAACTTGATAAGACCAAATCATATGCTGAAAAGTTTGCTTTCACTTGAAGTTTATAAAGTTGATAAAAAATTTATTGATAGAAGCCTTGTGGAGAAATAATGATTGACTGATTTGATATACAGCAGCAAGGCAAGATTTAGTGATGACACTGCAGCTATTTAGCTTACTGTATCCCTTGTTATGTAAATTTCTGCTAAAATAGGTTTGACACCTTTACCAGGTGCAGTAGCCTCTTTAATGGTGTCTTCAGGGGACCCTCTTCCTGGGTGTGTATTCTCGAAATCGGGGAACAGGGTTCCCAAGAGAACGATTGCTCTGCCTTTGTCAGTGTTATGAAAATATAAATATGAGTGACCAAGACAGAACCTTTGTTCCCAAGAGAACGCTGCTCCCCTGTTTCGAGAATAAGTCCCCTGGACAGGCTCCAACTCCTCCGGAAGATGTCGAGTTCTCCAGTAATCGAGTAATTGAGATGTGAAAGGCTGATTCTTCGTCGTACAGTCTACAAGATGGGTTCATCTTGGTAGATACCCATCATCTCGTGTAAGTGTTTTCTCAGTGTACAGTGACTTGGTAAGAGTCCTGTCATAATTCTGATCTGAGTTATCGTAAGCTTCATGACCTCAGAGGCTAATCTTGCCGTAGGATATTTAAAAATTGTCTTACTGTGATGTTGCCTCGGATCTCGTGGTTGATCCCAGTAGTTTTTGTGTTCCTCTCGAATCCACTTTCCTAAACAGCCACGTATTGAGGTTTTTGATATTCCGAATATGGGTTTAGGACTCATAAACTTTCCGGCACCCACGCAAGTGTTACCTTACTCCACACGTTGGGCGCCATTTTGCCACCCTGGCAGTATACTTGATAGAGATGCTATAGCTTTTCATTAAGTTCTGGAACATGTGAGAACGAAGTTGTGTAGGTACCATTATTCACTATGATAGTTCTCGGATACCCAAACATTAAAATCACATAGTCCTCTAAACAACGACAAATTGCCGAAGCAGTGGCAGTTTTTAACAGGAAAATAAGAGACAAATATCCGGAAGTTTTTCTTGGCAAAAAGCCAAAGAGATCTGCACAAATTAACTCGAAAGATTTGGAAACAGTAACTTGGGAGCTTAACATTAAACCCGCTGGTGGTTTTTGTTCAGGCTTCACAGCAATACATCTGCGACAACGCCTAACAAAATTTACTACATCTGATCTCATTTTGGGCCAGTTATATTTCCGAGTCAAAAATTTGTAAGTTTTAAATACCCCGACATGACAAAGTAAATTATGGGCATCTTCAATCAGTTTTCTTCTTTGATCACGTGGAATGACTTCACGCGAAAAATCACAATCTTGAGCCAAATCAGGGTGCTTTGTATTGACATGCTTAAAAAGTCGAGATCCATCAATTTTAAAAAGTAGAATATTTTGCAGGAAACGTTTTTGTTTTATGATAAAGTTTACGAAACCAGTTATCCTGAGTTTCCTTACTAGCATCATCATTCTCCTGTATGGTCAGTATTTTTAATAGCATTTATAATCGGTACAGTGCTGGATAAAGTATCAGGTAGGATAAGTTCCTTGTTCCTTACCTTTCTGTGTACAACGGTATACTCATAGGCTTGCATTTCAATCGCCCAACGGGCTAATCTTCCTGTAGGATTTTTCAAATTATTCAACCAGCTCAATGAGCTGTGGTCTGTCACCACCTTAAAAGTTGTTCCTTCCACATAAGGTCTGAGCTTTTCATGTTGTTGGCTTAACACTGCTGCTAAACCAAATCCTGGTGCGTCCGTTTGTATTGTAGGTAAATGGGAGGGAGAAATCTGGACATGACAAAACTGGTACAATAATTAAGCAATTCTTGATTCTTTGAAAGGAGTCATCGCAAAATTTATCCCAAATGAAAGGCTGATTCCTTCTAGTAAGTTTGGACAGCGAATTAGGGCAGAAAAATTTGGCACGAATCTACGAAATCATGATATCACCCCAATTATTTGACGAATTTCTTTGACTGTTTTTGGTCTAGGAATTTGTAAAATACAATTAACTTTATCCGGATCCACATATAGGCCATTTTTGTCTATAATATATTCCAAATAACGTAACTCTGGTCTACAAAATTTACATTTTTCTTTGGAGACTGTCAGGTTGGCATTTTTCAAAAACTCTTTGAAGCACTTCTATGTGTTTTTCAAGGCTTTGTGTCACTGAACATATATCATCGAGATTTACAAATACATGATCTTGCAATTCTGGACCAATAACTCTGTCGATGAGACGTTGTCACGTTGCAGGTGTATTCACAAGTCCTATTGGCATTCTATAATATTCAAATAAGGCTTTATCTGGTATCGCAAATGCTCTGAGCGGACGGGAACCTGAAAATATGCCAACTTTATGTCCAAGGAAGATAGGTATCGAGCATCCCGTAGTTTATCCAGTGTTGCCGACACGTATGGTAGAGGGTACGCATCCTTTATAGTTGATTGGTTTAATTTCCTATAATCTACCAAGAAGCGTCATGAACCATCTGATTTTTTAAGCAATAGAATTGGTGAAGACCATGAACCATGACTTGGTCTCACAATACCCTTTTTTAGAAGCTTTTCTAATTCGCCATTAATATTTTGAAGCATTATCGGTGAAACGGGATAGTACCGTTGCTTTATAGGCATTGACTCGGTGTTAATTCAATGTTCAACTAGAGTAGTAATTCCCAGCCTGCGTCACCCATTTCATCAAATGCAATTGCTACGACATTATCTAAAATCACTTGTTGCTGACTGGTTGATTCAGTTTGAGACTGAAGAGCGACAGTATCTATATATATATATACATTGCATGCGGGTTCCAATTCCGAAAATGTCCAGCTTCCATGTCTCAAATCAGGTATTATGCCCATCCTCCTGAAAAAATCTGCTCCCAGAATCAAGAGATGTCTAAGCGCTGGTATCACTAAAACTGAAATAGTTTTAATTTGTCGTTCTAATTCAAAAGGAATTTCAACTGATCAAACGCTTTCACAAATTTCGCCATTAGCGACCGTACAATGCATCCGATTGTTTTGATTCAATTTGAGACCTAAACCAAAAATTTTGTCCCAGCCTGGACCTCCTAATATACTGTTTGAAGCGCCACTATCTAGTAAACCAACTGTGTGGTTTACTACTACACCCAAACCTTTAACTTGTAAATAAGGTCTTTCATCTTTTTTCGCATGTGTTAGAATGAGATCCAATATTGCTTGTTGTTTAGCCGGGATTTTATTTAGGACTGTTTGTGGGATTGCCTCTATACAGTCATCTAGCGCCTTCCTTGATAGTTTCCCTGACGTTTAGAGCATATGATGCACGTATGATTTTTAAATCCACATTTAAAACAATGCTTAGTTCTAGCCTCGGTACACAGGTGTGCTCTGTGTTCGTTTTTGCCACAATTCCAGCATGTAAATTCAAAAACAGCATCAGAGTTCGCTGGTTACATTTTTTAAATAATTTTTCATTTCAGGGTAAGAATTCCTTTTTCAATTGTGTATCTAAATCATCCCAAGTATGAATATTCTCACAATTAGCAGTAGGTATACCAAAATTTTGCTTGGCCAATGAATAAATCACTTGCTGAAGCAACCAAGTACTTTCAACACATTTCTCAAAACTGAAAGCTTTCTCACCCTATCCAAAAATGCTAACAAAGACATATTTTTTCCACTGACACACGAGAACTGACTTAATATGGGTAGAAGATGATGCTTGATGATTCACTGGTGCTGCAGTGGATGCATGACGAAGTGACTGAAATTCTTCTTCGGTTTCCGAAGTTTCATCTGTAGATGATTCATCACTGGAAAGAGTCGTTGAAGACAATAATGCAGCAATTTCCAGAGGACTCTGCGTTTGCGAAAGTCTTGTATACTTTCTTGCCTTGTAGCTCTGAAACCCAAAATCGAAACTAGGATTTCTGATTTTTTCATCCTCTGAAGAAGCAGGCATTTTGTTTACTCGTCCATATGTATGTGAAATTTTTGTAGCCAGCTTCGCATATTCTGGAGATTCTTGACCAGTCGTAAAACCTTTAAGCAAATCATCAATCTCAGTAATTTTCTGTGTAAGTGCATTATAATCTTCCTGAAATATGAATGGATGCTTTGAAAAAGTAAATCTTGGAACCTTCCTTTCGACTTTTAACAACTGACGAAAAGTCTCACGCAAAGTCGGTGGCTTTGGATGTGTCATACACAGTGATTTTGCGAATAATCACCTCAGATATTAATTCTTCCTTTTCCAAACGATTGACCTCCAATTTCATCGCCATTGAGTCACAAATATACACACTCACAGAATATATCTAACTTAAAAAATATTATAATCGCTTTATTAACACCTAATAGTGCATTCACTAGTACCACGGTTATCTAATAAATTATTGTTGAAGCTAAATGCTTTTAAAATTTTTGAAAAATAACACTTTATACACAACCGGAGTACTTACACAACTCAACAACTCTCAAAATTTTAAACCCTACAAGAAAAGTCACTAATTAAGAATTAGGCTTTTCAAAGTGTACCCAAAGATATCAAAAAAGCAAACCTGAAAAGAATATATCATTCTATTCAATACCCGAGATAATGCTTCAGAGAAGTTGAACAAAAAAGTCTATAATGGCAAATTGGAAAGGATGATAAAGATATAAGTTTCTCAATTTGAACAAAGCGTTAGCCTTTGTAATGTGTTTCTTCTCACACTGTCGTACCTTACATGTTCAAGATAATGGCTACAGCCAATTTTTCTTCGATCTGAAACAAATCTGAGATGTCTCCTGGTTCAAGCCCCAGTTGAGATTTGTTCCACTCTAATATTATCAAAACTTGAGAATTAGCAGCCAAATGTCAGACATTCAAAAGCAGAAATCAGCTGCACTAAAGGGTTTTTGATAAATGGAATAACATAATGAAGCGAAAACTATGGGACAAGTATGTTAAAAATAACCGACGAAGGCTACGGCAGATACAGAATACAAAATAACAAACTAAAAAAATTAATCTCTGAAGCAAAGAAAAGCTATGAAGAAAATCTTTCGGAAATAATGACAAACACTTCTATTCTTATATCAAGTGCAATCTAAGCAGCCAGGTTCATGATTTAATTATATGAGATCCAAAAAGTAATCACCGTATAAAAGACTGAAAGACCTCCGCAAACACTTTTGCAAACCAATTTCATTTCGTCTACACCAGAGAAACCCTTACAAACATGCCAACACTGCCCATAGAGACAATGAACATTCATCCACTCACTCACTGTCATTAACATATAACAACAGAAAAAGTCACCATAGCTCTGTAGCCTAAAAACCTATTCAAGTCCAGGCCCAGATGGGATACCATCTATATTTCTTAAAAAATGTGCTACGTCTCTAGCACCCTTATTAGCCCAAATATACCAAGATTCAATAGTGATACCAATGTACAAAAGTAATGACAAAAACGACCCGTCCAATTATAGACCCATTAGCCTGACCTGCACACTGTACACAGTACTTGAAGAAATTCTTGTGAAAGAAACAACATCCTTTCTATTAGAAAATGATATAATACCTCCCACACAGCACGGCTTTATGCCAAAAAGGTCTACTAGAACAAATCTTCTCAGCTGCCTGGACGATTGGTCTACAAACCTAGATAAATCGACGTCATCATATATCTCGACTTTCAGAAAGCCTTCGATACAGTACCACACGAAAGACTCCATTAAAAACTGAGCCATTATGGAATAAGAGGCAAGTACCTACAATGGAGCAGCTCCTATTCTTAAGCAAAGAACTTTCTATGTTCGAGCAAATGGAACCAGCTCTAATTGGTACCCAGTCGTCAGCGGAGTACCACAAGGATCTCTGCTTGCTTCTTTTTTTTTTATAGTGTACATTTATGATCTGTCAAAAACTATTCAAACTAAAGTAGAATCCTTTGCAGATGCCAAAAAACTATATGGAAATCCTTTAACACAACTGCATCAACTAAAGGAAGACATGAGCACTGTAGAAGAATGGACAACCATATGGCATCTAAAACTAAATGAAAAAAAGTGTACAGTTTTACACATAGGACGAAACATCCCTAGATTCAACTACCAAATAAATAGCGTCGAACTCAGAAAAGTCTCAGAACAGAAAGACCTAGGAGCCTATGTCACCAATGATCTGGAATGGGAAACCCATATATCCTACAAAGTAAAAAAGGGCAATCAACTATTATACCTTATGGGACAAGATTTTGAAAATCAAACTATAAAAATGATTAAAAAAAACTGTACACCACTTACATTAAGCCAAAACTAGAATATGGCCACACACTTTGGTCTCCTTACTACATCAAAGACATAGATCTCTTAGAAAGAGTGCAGAGAAAAATAACCAAAATTTTAATTGAACTTATAGACCATCAGATAAGGATTGAAAAGTACATCGATTTTGAGTAGGTTGAAGGTATTCCTACGAGTGGCTCCTGGGGATAACATATGGAAAATTTCACTTATGTTACCCTTAAATGTACTTTTCTATTAGCGACACTCAAGAAAATATATTTTCCTGCTACCGAAGTTGTAGATTTTCGTCCTTCCGATGGGCTTGTGTGGAAAAATCGCCCAAAATCTCGATTTTTCCGTACAAAGTTTCGGCCTTATTTCAAACCTTTAGCCACCTGCAACACCCCCTTATTTGTTTCCACGAAGCCAGGTTTTATTAATTAATCCTTTGGTAAATGAGGCTTGCGAGAAAATATGGGCACTAGGACAACGTCTTTCATTTCTGTTACGGAAATTCGAATTTTCCATACGTTATCCCCAGGAGCCATTCGTAAAAATGCCTTCATCCCACTCAAAATCGATATACTTTTTAACCCTCTTCAAGGCTTGTATGCGAAAATGGGGTACCTAAATATGTCACTATCTGACGGTCTATTAGAAATTTGCCATATGAAATAAGACTACAAAAATTCCAGTTGACAACACTCAGAGAAAGAAGGGAAAGAGGAGACCTAATTGAAACACATAAGATCCTAAATGGCTACTACTCTACATACCTGAAACTGGACGATATGTTCCAAATGAATCCAAACTTAAACCTTAGAGGACACCACCAAAAACTGAAAAAAGAGAGAACTGTTTTTCTCGGAAGGAAAAACTTTTTAACCAATCGCGTATATAAATGTAATTCCCTAAGCCCAGAAACGATAAGTACACCAAACAAAAACATTTTCAAAAATAGACTAGACTAAAATCTTTGTACCATAAACAACACATTAGTGCATTATTTTTAAAGAAGTACTAAAAACAAAAAAAACTGTGTGTGAAGTGAAAAATCAAAAGCGATGGACTCATCGGTCTTAGGCCGCTTTCCATTACCAAGAACATAATAATAATAACAAACAAATTCAATGCTGCTGGTGAAAATTTTTGTCCACTCTCCCAAATGAAATACAGTTGCATCATTCTTACAGTAATTTTATTTTTAATTAGAATAATACATCGATTAACTTAAAAATATGCCCGGACTCTCACAGCAAACTTAAATACAGTAATAATAATAAATCGATAATAGTAATTAAAACAAAAGAAACGTCCTACTTATAATTAGTAAAAGTTCGTCCGGGCGGCTACAAAATTGCAATAATATTATATGTTTTAAATTTTGTTCCGAATTTTTTTTTTTAATTTTTAAATTTAATTATTTATAAGTAAATATTACAGTTCGATCATTCATTACATTATTTGAATAATAATGAGTTTTCATTCCAAAAATAAAAAAAAAACAGGAAAAACGTTATAAAAATTGAACACATACATGGACTGATTTCAAACAAATATACAAAAAAAAAATCGTGTTTACAAATTTATTTCCTTATTTTAAAAAAAATATTATTATTTTTTGTTTTGCATAATGAGGGAATTAGACATAAATGAAACATAAACATCCTGTTAAGCGTCTAACCCTCAAGAAATGCACGGGTTTATTTTATACACTATTACTTTGGAAATATATCAAAACAAAAACCAATAAATTAAAACAATGTTTCAGAGATTTTCAAATTAAATTCTACTACATACAGCTTTATATACACATGAAATGTCCTTTTGAAAAAATTTGTAAAATAGTCTAAAACCTAAACACAAACCACATTTACTTTAAATACACTCTCTGTGTCGACACACAAACTGCATCATCTCATGACCGTTTGGGGAGAAAAATTTTTACTACAAAACAAAATTTCCATTAATTTTTTTAAATCTTTATCCATAACTATTATTCTCTTGTTTTAAAACGGTTACAGTCATACGTACATTTAATTATAATAATATGTATGTATAAATTATTATGTGTGTAACTGGCACTTATCTACGTAGTTCTCTATTTACAAAAATAAGTCTATTTCCTTTTACTGACTGACAAGACGATAAGTCGCTCGCTGCGCTGCTACAATTTAAAAAAAAAAATAACCTGCTGATTGTGTCAAATAATTTTTATTAAACTAAAACCCGTATAAATGTGTATTATGGTAAAATACATACAGCTAAGTGTATTTCTTATAAAACGACTCTCCATAAATTAGAAGTATTGTTAAACGTAAGCTTTGGAAATTATGTAGATGTTAGATTTAGAGGTTTTAAAAAAATGCATATCTGTAAATGGAATAAATTTACTTCAGTTGAGGCATTGTAAACAAACAAGATTACAATACTTGTCTGACAAAAATTCAATGTTTTGGGATGCTAGGAAATTAAAGACTGAACAATTTCAAATCAGTGATGATCTACAATATTCAAACTTAGTGGAACATTTATAAGAATCTTCCTAACAGGATAATGGAGATTTTGTGCATTTAGCAAAAATTATAATGTAGCACTGGTCCTGGTGGGACATTACTGTATTGCTATAAACATTTAGACGAAAAGGTCGAATACCTTGTCGCCTAATTGTTTATTATAAATATCAAATACCATGCCAATACTGTAGATTTTTACTGATAAAAAATTTTCTTTCAAGAGTGCTTACTTCATAACTACGGCTAAAAATAAATAAGGCCCCGACAACCAAAGCTACCAAAAAATACACAATCAACAAGCCATTTTTTTTTTTGGAAATTAGTAAAGTGCCTTCGCAATTATTAACAAACAAACAAAAATAATTTCAATTAAAAATCGGGCTGTTAAAATTTATTATCACAAGCCAGCTTTCATCTCGTAACCCTTGGGCAAGTTAAAAGACTTGATAATTTCCAATTGTTTCCAACAACAAAATACATAATAATATAGGCCAGTGGACTTAGTCGATGAAATTTTTCAATAGTTTGATGGCTACAATAGGAAATTAACAACAAATATGGCTGTGTTAAACAAAAAAAAAACTAACTAAAATATATAAAAAAATAAGCTAACGGGAACATAGAAATTTGTTACTAAAATTCGCGTACAACAAAACAATAAACGAAAAGAACAGTTTAATTATTTAGATAACGAAAAACATATTTACAATAAACTAATACCAATACAATAAATCAAATGAGAATTTCAATATATAATTTACACTGCAAAATTGTAAGTTGTTGCTGGGGCACTTTACTATCAAGTTGTCAAACGCTTACCAAAACAATTTCTTTAAAAAAATATGAGATAAAGCTATTATCAGGAAGCCAACGTGCTTAAAGTTTACAGAAGACTCGGAATTTTTTTTTCATCATCAACTCTAATACCTATATACACCTCAGAAAATTTTCACCCTAGCTCATATTAATTAATTATTAATTATGGCGAAAAACCTTAACATTTCGAGATCAATAAGAAAAACACTTTTTTATATAATTTTTTTTTTGTTGCTTCACGTGTGGTGTGTATTATTGGTGCACTAACCAAAAAAAAAAAAAAGAAAAGAAAACTCGCAAAACTGTCCCGAGATTCGTTCACAATCACAGAAAAAAATGAAGTCTGTGTCCTCCTGCCATTGGGTTTTTCTTTTTTGGTTCTGCGAAAACTATGAAAATTAATTAGAAATATCAGTTCGGTTTTTCTCTCAGCTAAAATCGTACAGCCCCGCCATGATTTTTTTACAAAATGGTGTCGCGGAAGACAACAACGACCGTCTGATAGTGGAAGGTAAGTATCATTATCTTCGGTCTCTGTAGAGTAGGTAGGTTTGCAGCGCCTGCGGTAGCTGGAGACCCATTACTCGTTCTTCTAGATGGGCTTTACCTATTTTCTGTCTTATAACTCGTCGACAGAGATCCATCAATGGAAGTGGTTCAGCTGAAAGAAAAAAAAAAATATTTATTTTAATTTTAAATGAGTATAGTTTCATTCAATTTCAAAGCTTTATGTTTTCCTATAGGTACTCTTCTGAGTCTTATTGATAGGTTATAATGGTCGATTTTTAGGAAGCTATAAGCTCTTTTTTTCAAATTGCTCCTAAAGCTGTGCCCAGATCCGGAACCCATGATTCGATAGTATCGTCTATGTAATTTATATGGACGATACTATCGAATCATGGGTTCAGAATCCAGGTCCTGTTTTACTGAGTTTTGAAACCCCAGCAATAGTTATTGAACTTATTGTCTCTTATGAGCTTTCTGGTTATGATATGTATGTGGTGATACACCTTTATAGCCAATTTTAAGCGATTGACCAATCAGAGATCTTGACAGATAAACCATTAATGTCATTATTATTAACTAATTGGTCTTAACTGACGTTAAATACATTGCTCATTTGTCAAGATGCCCGACTGGTCAATCGCTTAAAATTGGCTTATGTTTTAATATCATGTCTACCTGTCTTTGTGTGTCATTCAAGATTGTGTCATTAATTATTTGTCAAGTTAATCTTATGCCTAATTTTGTCGATTATTTCTGAGGCCGGAGACTTATTGTGCTGAATCTTCCTGTTTACTGCACCCATTGCAAAACCCTGGTTCCCTGCAGTAGGCGAAGTAGGTTTGTTGGATGTTTGCCGTATGTGTCTGGATCTAGTTCATCTTGTCCAAATATATTTTGTCTTCTGCGAGTTCTGATATAATATGTTGGGCTGTTTCAGTCTCTGTTCCGCATAGTCTGCAGCTCGTGCCTCCGTTATACAAGCTCATTGTTCGCAGGTGCTTCTTTACTGGGGCATGTCACAACTTGAAAACTGAAGTAGCAAAATCAGCTGTCACTGCCGCTGAAGAGAACATTCCATTTGTGGTGGAAACAGACGCCTCCGAACACTCAATAGCAGCAATTCTAAGCCAATCTGGACGACCAGTTGCGTTTTTCTGAAAAACTCTATCATATAGTGAACAAAACCACTTAGCAGTTGAAAATTCACACTTGGACACATCCAGAGATGAATTCATATTAGTCCGACCTAGAAGAAACTGTCAGTCGCCAGACAGATTATGCTTCAAAATAAGCCTGGGGAGAATGTGGTGATACACCCTCAGACTAATAATAAAACTAGAGATCAAACATGCCATTGAGAAACCACCCAATATTTACAATCAATCATCTTTTAGTCCATGATATAAGTAAGAGAGAGATAGACCTATAAAATGGCAACGCTGTTCAGTGGCGGCGTGTACAGTTTTCTCTCAATTTTCCATTCACAATAAATTACCATAAATATCCTCTATCTATGCCAATGTCAAGCGTAAAATGATGTCAAATTTCTTACCGCCGAAATATGTGCTTGGAATCATTAAAGATACATCGATGTACCATTTTAACGTTCTTCACCACACTTTCCACAGTTTTAAATCAAAAAATACCACTGAGTAATCACAAAATTTATCTCTATCACTTCACAGCAACACTACCAAATCCATTATAGATAGTCACATAAAATCATCTGATTGGCTGGTCGTAGATGCAACGTTGCCGATGTGCGGTTTTTCGAGCCATATATTCCTGGTTATTCTAGAATTTTCATTAATTTAAATGTGACAAATTATTTTTTTCAAAACGGCGTTTAAGTTATGTTTCAACAAAGATTGATAAAAAAAAACATTTACCTTATGTTAATAGTTATTTGTTTTACTAGGCAGAAAAGTACAGCCTCGGCTATGAAACACCAGCCACAGCATTAAATCTGCTTTTCTGCCATGTAAAACATATATAATTTTTTCTCCGAATGTTCAAATTTACACATGGACATTTTTGTTATATTTATTTCATTCATTATTATTATCCAAATAATTAAATTATTTTGACAATTGTCATTGTCACCATCAATTTCAAATACCAAATTGAGTGGAATTATTACCTGGAACGTTCTGACACTGTCACTTTTAATGCCTAGGCAGTAAAAATACAACTTTTGATCTTGTCAAGTGTCATTAAAAAGCCGCTTTTACTGTCATTCGGAGAAAAAACATATTTTGGAATAATGATTATCCGTAAAAACATTTAAAATTGAAAATCACATCGGATTATTGGTAATCAGGCTTTTCATGCAAAAATCGACCTTATGGATGTTGGATCGCGAATTGTTTGTTTACTGTTGTATCTGTCGTTTTTAGTTGTTAATCTGAGGATACACCTTTATGTTTTAATACTATGTCTACCTGTATTTATGTGTCATTCAAGATTTTGTCATTAATTATTTGTCAAGTGCTTTATTTTGTCGATTAAATTATTTGCATTATTACAATGTGAAGCTACTCTTCCCTATTTAGTCCCTTGTTTGTCTACTTTCTTCATGTAAATTGTACATCATTTTAGAGTTACTCAGCGCTCATCCAAAAACTCGATTTTTAGAAGCGAAAACATTTTCAACTATAAATAGAAAATAAAATACTCACGATCAAGTCCACCAATATATCTCATTGTAATTTCGCAGTGGCCCCACACGGCGCTAACGATAGGATACAATTTCTTGCCCTTGAGGCCTCTAAAAGCTACACCTAGATACTGGCCGTCGACGACGAAACTCAAAGTGCCCTCGTCCATGTCCAAAACGACCAAGAATTTGTCGGGCACGATAAATGTCTCGTCGGGTTTCAGTAGAGCCGGGTACAGTACTCCCGGTTGGTTTTTCGAGTCGTGATAGAGCTTGTTGCGGCCCAAGTCCCAGCCCCAGGAGTTATCCGTGCTGCCTACTAGACTTTGGTAACCTACTGAATGAAGCGGAGCTTCTGCTGTTGCTACGCCTACTACTGCGTGTGTGCCTCGTTGTCGCGTCGACCAACATACTTCCCAACAATGCATTCCCTATAAAATAATAATTTATATATTGTTTCAATACAAACAACAACAATTATTTACCTTAGTAAATCCTACTTTTCCCCTAATACAGTCCGTACTTTGTGCAACGGGATGTCTGTGGAACGTTAATTTATCATCTTCCTTAACGAAAATGTTTAGAGAGCGATCGTCCTGGTTCCAGCTGTATTTCAGTTGCGTCTCCCTCAGTGCGGGAGGCATGTCCAGCAACATGTCCAATCGTGGTGGTCTCGCAAAGTCTTGAGCTAGTTCCCTGGGAATCACGGGTTTGTAGGGGGCGGCTGCGGCGTCTCTGCCGTTGCCCGCCTTGACTCCGTTGCTGACCTAGAACAATCATAATACAATTACTATCTTGTTAGAATAACTTTCGTATGTACTTCATCCAAAGTTTTACTCTCAAATCCCTATTTTTAATTGTCTGGCATTTGAATTAGGCTCTCCAACCCACGTGATTTTTCAATATGGCGAGTGTGGAAAATTTGACGTTTGTTTGTTTATCTTGAGTTCAATTGGAATATTTTCAAGCTAATTACAGTTTACTTTGTTATGATATACTTTTTGAGATGCAAAGTGAATATTTGAAGACTTAAATGGAGGAAAATCAAGATGTGGGCGAACAGTTAGTTCGAAAAAATGTCCAGTTGACATTTTAACCCACAGTTTTCACAAATTTCACATGAGTAAATGAAGGCCTACAAAAACTTAGATTCTCACAAGTATTTTGAGCCTGGCTTAATTTTAGATGCAGGAACAGTGGTAGTGAAAAATTTTTCACGTTTTAATTGGAAAATTTCGAAACAGAGGGTAATGAAAAAAGCCTGACATCATCCTTGTTACCTTGTTGAAACTACTTCCATAATCAACTACAAGACACGTTTGTGGCATTTTTAATTAGAAGAAACACTAATGAAGTCAATAAAATAAAAAAATAAACAGAGTTCATTCACAAAACAACCACAAAATGCACTTTAAAAAGCTTTAAATTCCATAATCTCATATACGAGATAATGAACTTCCGCCCACAACGCACTTTTTGACAGGACGTTGAAATGCCTGATAAAAGATTGACATTGATAAATAATTCACCAATCAAAAATGCCAGACGGTTTTCAATGGCCGAAAAGTTGAGGGATGGGGGTTGACTTGCAAGAGAAAAAAACACAACTTTCGACATTTTCTTTCTGTTCTGAAAATAACGCTGAAAAATTGCCAGACAGCAGTTACAGTTCGAAATCGATTTTTCCGTGAAAAATTTCCAGTGGAAGGATTGATTATTGGAAAAAGATTGACAGACAAAGGAAAATTGCACGGAAAATTCCAGACTTTTTTGTTTAGCATTTCGTTATTCCATTTGAAATAAACTATGCATCATTTGAACTGGAACACCCTAATTTTTAGTAATTTTTGCAAGATTTTGATCAAATTTTCAGGAGTGAAAGGCTGCTCTAATTGCTATTTATTTTCTAATTGCTAACAGATTTCCGTCCATCTGCTAAGAGATACAGGGTGAAACATAAGTTCGAAAGTTTGGGTTCATCCCATTCTGCTGGAGGGAGGACTTTTGGTATTCAGTTTAGAAGAGTATACCTTAGAACCTCGCGACGTTTTTGAGATTTTTTGAATATCATAGCCCACTACGATTTTATCATGAATTATGCGATTTTATGTAAAATACAGGGTGTCCCACAGTGGATGGCGTATTAAACGTTTATGGAGAACTCAAAGGCTGATCATTTTGAAAATTTAGCAACCGGGATACGACCATGATCTACACTATAAAAATATTTTTGACCATGCGGCGTTGCCGCTTCTACTCTAAACCAGTGGCAACATCGCTATTATAAATGGAACACCCTGTATATATTTTTAAATTTTTGAGCCATTAGGAGCAACTTTTCCTAATACGCCCCTATACCTATCTGTCGCCGGGAATAAATTAATTGTAGTAACTAAAGAAACTGACTGCCATAATTAATAAATTATAATACTCGAATTACTTTTTTAAATATATATTTTCAAGAGAGACGTTATATGTATGCGGGAACACATGTCTTATAACTAAGCTCTGTTTCAACAGACATGAGAAATGAGAACCGTTCCAGAACCAATAGTTTCCAGTTGCGCACCTATTTTTCATTTAGTTGAACGTTTATCCTAATTGACAAATGAATTGATCGACTGGAAATTACCGTTCTAGAACGGTTCTCATGTCTGTTGGAACACAGCTTAGGTAACAAAAAATGTATTTCCCCATTACTATTAAAACCGTTGAAAGTTTGTCAATTATGAAATTTCATGAATAAACGCTAATAAATGGAAAACATAAAGAATTAGGTATAGGCAAAGTAGGTATATCTACATAGTCTGAAAGCTAGTTTTATCAGTTCTTAGAATCCGTATTATTATACAGGGTGTTCCATTGAAAAAATAAATAAATGTTTCTGGCATTTTTGTGAGTTACCGACAAAAACTAATCTCTGGACCATCTTGTATACTTGAACTGAGATGTGAGCGAAAGATCAAATGCCTACAGGCAATGTTCAGGGATAACCCAAAATTCAGCTCAAATTTGTTTCATAGGAGGAAGATATTTATTGGAAGTCCTTTTATTTATTTATTTATTGGAAGTCCTTTCATTCGATTTTTCTTACTATCGATAACTATCGACAGCATTATCGATAGTTTCATATCTACACTACCGACCGCAACCATAACCTAACTTATATGGCGTTTTCGATTGATACATGTACCATAGGTCCTTATTCTTGAAACAGGGGAGCAACGTTCCCAGGGTCCTTATTCTTGAAACAGGGAAGCAGCGTTCCCAGTGCGGCTATTCTTGAAATCTCACTGAGAGAGTATTTCCCGATATTTGAGTGATAGTGGGCGTGTCTCCCCTAAAATGACAAATGTCTTATTCTTGAATTTCTCAACCAAAAAACCCTGTGAGACAAAATGAGGTTAAACATCCACAAATGAGTTGATTGTCGTTGAAATCTGCGTTTTGATTGGTCAAAATTCTCACCCGAAATTTGAAAATGGTATCGTCAAAATTCTCACCCGAAATTTGACAATGGTATCCCATTTTCATCTCACTTTCAGGCTTTCCCCAAACTCAAGAATACTGTTTTTATGCAAATGAGTGAGAAACGAGGGGAGAACTCACTCTGTGTCACTCCCCGGCGAGTACTCCTTCTCACCCGTTTCAAGAATAGCCGCACAGGAAAACGAGTGTTTCGTCTATGTTACTAACACTATCAGTTGCATATGTTGAACACTCGTTCTCCTGAGAACGCTGCTCCCCTGTTTCAAGAATAGGATCCCTGGAGAACAAGTGTTCCGTTTTTCTCATTGATATGCGAATGACAATATAAGTAACAAAGACGGAACACTCGTTCTCCTGGGAACGCTGCCCCCCTGTTTCAAGAATAAGGGCCCTGATTGTATTTCCATCTCTTTCTTTCAGCCTGTTAAAGAGATAGATGGATAGAAATACATTTCCTCTGCACTAATCCTACCAACCGGAAACGTCATTTTAATAGAGGATTTCAAGCGTTTGACCGGTCGATTACACTTGACACATAAACAATGAAGTAAACGTCATTTGTCAACGAACTGGTCTTGAGTGCCGTAAAATGCATTGCTTCAGATTGTCTTGACTTAAGTTATCATTGTACTGTTTTTGTGTTCACACAATAAATGTAACAGAATTGAAACATGTTTATTTCTTTATTGATGACAGTTTTCCGAGCAGTTTTCAGTTTGTTGATTGAAGTAAGCTTTGTTTCATGAGAGTTCATACTTTTTGCCTTCCTTTTTTAACAAATAGAAATTGACTGAAACAAATCAATGACGTCAAAAACGTTTGTCGGTACTTAAACCAAAAGTCATTCATTTTAATTTGTCAAAAAAATTGAATGTGTCATATGAATTAATTCACGACAACCCTTTTTTTTGCAAGTTATGACGGGTTCAATATCAGAAGCATGAACCCTCGTGAAATGATCTTTTCCTCAAAAAAAGGAGTTACAAGATAAATTTCACAAGTTATGTGTATATCTTTGAGAATTTATCTGGGTATTTACTCATAGGTATAAATACCCAGGTATTTTACATCACTATCAACAGCTTATGGTAATGTCCTATGTAGATACAGAAACCCCAATAGAAACCTGGACGAGAATTCTGTGTTATGTCGCTTTCTACATGTCGAATTCTAGTGTCGATTTCTACATTTAATATAAAGGAAAATCGTGTAGAAAACGGTACACGGAATACAAAATATCGAACACAAAATGTCGCTATAGAATTCGACAGTGCACGGAATCTGCCCCTTGGTACGTCAGACATCCTTGCGTCATGACGTCATTTCCATTATTGACTTGGGTTTTTTTTCTTCATCATTTTCATTATTAACCTAGGGAGAATTAAATTTTTTCCTAGAAAAATAGATTGAATAATGACTATTTCTCAGGTTAGTAGTGAAAAAATGATATTGGAGACTGAGAAAAACAGTCATTGATTGCCACAAATTAAAAATTATAAGCACAAAGAGGATTGCCTATTATTGTCAAGTGCCGATACCCTTGTGACGTCACTACAGATGCGCGCCTCCCTTTTGTTGTACTATTATCATTGTGTTATGTGATTATTTTTGTTATTTGAACATTTGCGTCCTGTGCTTTTTGAAGTGAAACTTATTAGACGGTCGGACGAGAATTGAGAGTGATTTGGAATACACGTCACGTTTTGACAATTTTCGTTACACAAGAGAGAAGAGAAATATATCGTAGAGGGACAAAAAAAGACAGCCAATGACAATGACAGCCGACAAACGATCGACACAAACCAAGTATGGGCATTTTCCAAATTTCACCGATAAATTGACCAGTTGAATAAACCGGTAGCTGTCAAAAAATTCTGGTAAAAGCTAGGCGTGAGTCCGGTTACAAGATTTTTCTGAAACATTTTGGAACGCTTTGGTGTGTTAAAGTGTTGAATTTGAAAATTGAATTAAACCAGTATCGGCGGTATCACACAGGTGAATTCTGGAAAGTGCCCTTTTATGAACACTGTCAAGTCTAGTACTCATAACTGCGAAATTCGCTTTTTTTTTGACATTGCTCCGACAATTTGACGTTTGATACACGCATAAAGCGTCAAATTGTCAAAGCAATGTCAAAAAAGTGCGAATTTCGCAGTTATAAGTACGTCACTACAGTTGTGCATTACCCTGCTTCTTTTATCCTGACTCATTATTCCAAAAAATTTCACAAAAATTTCCAAAAAATTCCATTTTAAAAATTTTGGCATTTTTTAGAATTATTGGTATTGGGTGTTTGTTTATAACTGGAACACTCAGTAACTTTATTATTATTGAAAATGAAGGGAAAGTTGGAAAATTTCTTGGTAAATTGCAATCTTTTTTTCGTCGCAATAGGTATACAGAGTGCGCCAAAAAGGTTTTTTTTTTTCTAAACGGAACGACCTGTATATTTTTGTTATCCAAATAGTGTTTGATATTTTTGTGAAGCTGATTTTCTAAGAATTATGAAAATGCAAAAATATACAGGGCGTTCCATTTGAATAAAAAATACTTTGGCGCACCCTGTATACCTATGGCCACAAAAAAAATATCATTCAATTTACCAAGAAATTTTCCAATATGCCGTGCACTTTATTTCCAATAATAAAAAAATTACTGAGTATTCCAGTTATAAACCAACATCCTGTACAGGGTCTTTCCCCATATTATTGACCCCCTCCTACAGGGGTTATATGAAGAGATATCCAAAAATTTTAAATTCAAAAGTTTTACCTGAAATCTTTGAATCCGATGTCAAAAACTTTTTTGTTTTTTTCATAAACGTCAAATTTTGACAGATGGTCAGTTTTTTCTTATGGATCACCCTATATATGACTTAATGGTTGAAAAGAGTCGATTTTTCTGATTTAAAATATACACCCATCTAACCCAAGCAAACAAACCCCTAAAAGGTGTACTAACGGTAACAACTGTATATGGTTCAACTACTTTTAATTGAGCCGGTTTGGAAATATCAGGCTCTAAGCTTCAAGAAAATAATACATTGAAACACATAAGCTCTGTTCCAGTCGACATGAGAACCGTTCTAGAACGGTAATCTCCAGTGGCTCAATTCAATTAGGATAAACGTTAAACTTATTAAAAAATAGGTGGGCAACTGGAAATTACCATTCTAGAATGATTATTATGTCGGTTGGAACAGAGCTTATGTATTTCAATGTATTTCTTGAAGTTTGAACCCCGATATTTTCAAAACGGCTCAATTAAACCATATACAGGGTGACACAATGAATAGGGAACAGCCTATAACTTTTTTAATACATAAGTTGAAAATTTGAAATTTGGGGAGCTTAAACGAGGCAACTTTTTGAGTTTTTTAGAAGTAAATTGCGTTACCAGTCACTTCCGGTTAAACCGGAAGTAGCCATAACTTTCAATTTTCAAATGGGACACCCGGTATTTTTTAAGTTTTCTGGCATCAGCAGATCATTTTACGTATGATAGGAATATTTTTGAAAGATTTATAACAAAACCAAAAAAAAAATTGCATCTAAAAATAAGGATTTTTCAAAAGTTGTTGAGTTTTTTTTCAGCGGATTTTAAAAATGTTGATATCAAAAAATAGGGAAAAAAATCTAGTTTCAAAAAATTGATAGGTCCCAGCGTGGTTACATTTGAAAAATATGGAATACCTTGAAAACACCTCTTCGTTTAATTTTGATCTGAAATTATGGCGTTCAGTTAGCAAAAAATTGAAGGTACAGACTTTCCTGATATTAAGAATATACAACTAAATCAATTTACACCAGTGGCAGCGCCGAATTTTTTTTTCTAAAAATTAATTCAATTTATTTATTTTTTTGTTAAAAATTTGCCAAAAATGGTCCTACCATACTTAAAATGATCTGCTGATGCCAGAAAACTTAAAAAATACCGGGTGTCCTATTTGAAAATCAAAAGTTATGGCCACTTCCGGTTAAACCGGAAGTGACTGGTAACGCAATTTACTTCTAAAAAACTCAAAAAGTTGCCTCGTTTAACTCCCCAAATTTCAAATTTTCAACTTATATATTAAAAAAGTTATAGGCTGTTCCCTATTCCTTGTGTCACCCTGTATTTGAAATCAGAAAAATCGACTCTTTTCAACTATAAAGTCATATATGGGTGTTCCATGAGAAAAAACTGACCACCTGTCAAAATTTGACATTTCTAAAAAAACAAAAAATGTTTTCGACATCGGATTCAAAAATTTCAGGTAAAACCCCAAAACTTTTGTGTTCATAATTTTTTGATATCTCTTCACATAACCCCTGTAGTGGGGGGGGTCAATATACGGGGAAAGACCCTAAGGGATATTTCAGTTGCTATTGGAGTTAGAAGGATGCCGTATTCGCGAACGTTGGCTACTTTTCTGTCAAACGAAAGATGCCGGTAACAAAATTGTCATTGCCCTTTCCGTTTTTCAGATACAAGGTGTTTTTGAAAATGTTGCATTTTGGAACACGCCTTGGTATCTCGGTTTTCTCATAAGTGATCGAAAAGGTGACAACAGGGTTTTATAGATCTGTCTACGTAGATTCCAGTAGCGAAGTCAGTTTTTCTCTAGAAGTGATAGTTTTTAAATTATGAACCAAACATACGTTTTCTCAAATGAAACAAACACCCTGTATATTAATAGCTCATTGGAAAGCTTTGCTTTTGCTGATTTAAATGTTATAAAATTCGATGTGTTTATCTCTCTCTCTCTCTCATGTCTGTTTTTGTCATAAGAAACAATGTGTCAGAGAAGGACTTTGCATCTGTGAGGAAAATGAGAAAGATTCCTTTCTAACACATTTACCATGTTTATGCTTCCCGTTAAACCGTTTCAACAAAAAACGTTTTGCTATAAAATGCTTGCATAAACACCCCATAAATTGTTTTATCTCGTTGAACCGTTTTGATTCAAAACGTGTCCTAACCGATTTGAAAACGGTTTAAATACTGCGTAAACATCTCAAACCGTTCTAAGGAAGTGCCAGCACTGCTTAGTGGCTTGTGATGACATTTAAAAATTGTTTTGGGGAAAGGTTCGAAAACTTATTAACGGTTAAAACGGTTAACGGAAGCATAAACTTGGTAATTGTTTCTTATAACAAAAACAGATGAAAAATGTTTACTCGAAAAGTGTTACGAGATAAACCTATGGAATTTTATATCATTGAAATCAGCATAATCAGAGCTATCCAATGAGTCTACAATATATAGGGTGTCTCATTTGAAAAAACGTATGCATGGTCCATATTCGAGAGGGATGTCCCAAAATGCAACATTTTCAAAATATACAGGGCATTCAAAAAAGAAAATTACTTTTTTGGCGCACCCTCTATACCTATGACGACGAAAAAATCTCGATGTAGCGATTAAGATCGTTGCAGAAATTTTCCAGTTTAAACATGCCCTTTATTTTCAATAATAAAAAAGTTACTGAGTGTTCCAGTTAAAAACAAACACCCTGTACAATCAAAACGGGACACACTGTACAGGGTGGTCCAATTTGGACACTTGTAATAGGAAATGCCAATCTCTGAGCGAGTTTACATTTTGCCCTTTGTTGGTTTCCAAAATAGGTATATCCCTAAAAGTTAAATTAACTGAATTTCACCTTCATCCATTTAAAGCTTGACGGAAAATTAACATTCAACCAAAATACCGGAAAACTTTTAATTACGTCCCAATTATGTTTGTACATGCCATTTTCATATTAAAATTGTTGTTTGGTTGAATTAAATTTTGATGATTTTATTTTAATTAATTCTAATGTAAGTTGAGCTAGGATCAAAAATAAATTGAATATTCAATTTTTCAATTAGTTTTACTAACAAACCCGCAGTTTTTTAATGTCTGACGGTGTGTGGTCATGGAGGGAGATTTCTCAAAAGTTGTTCCATATAGAGTGAAAATGGAAAACTGACTGACAATTAGCATTATGATAGCATGACAGCGATACTGAAGAAGTTGACGACGCCACTGATGACTGATGACGTCGAGAAAACTGAGAAAGATGGAAATCTGATGGAGTAAAATCAGGTGGATAGTTAGAGTAAAAATGTGCTTGAAACTGGTACTTGAAATTGTCACCCTCAAATAATTACCTTCTGGCCCATGCTCATTCCCCGCGCGCCCCTTCTTCCGCGCGGTCCCGTCTTGGTACCACCGCAAGCAGGCACCACAGCGGCTTTGTAGGCCCGCCGCACTTCAGCGGCGCCGCGGGTGCCGCCCCCGGCCGCTTGCTGCCCGCCTCCCCCTCCGCTGCAGCCAACGCTTCTCACGCCACCGGTCCTGATGCTGGTCTTGTACCTGAAACGAAACGTCCGATATTAATTTAAGTCAATCAAAATAATTACTTTGTACAATTTAAATGCTAATTGACCGCAAAAAGTTGACTCACGGTAAAAGGATAGTCTGGTTTTTGAAATGTCTGTCTTCCTGTGCGGTCAGCTTGGTAATTCATAGAAGCAAGCGGATATCACGAAACTATGTGATGTAAAAGTAAATATTTGAACTTCATTGAAAAAAGTTTTCCTATAGATAGAAGGTAGATATTCATATATAGCAATAAGATGATCCATCAGGTGTCGTCTTACATTTCGTGCAAATGTTCTACTTAAGGTTTTATGTGTAATCATTTAATATTTTCCGTATATTTTTCTTAAAAATTCAGTTTCATTTGATTTGAACCTTATCGAGTTGGGCCTGAGTCTAGAGGATGACTGAAAAGTTACCTAATAACAACCATTATATTGGTTTGTATCGATTGAAATCTGAATCTAACAAATCAAATACCGAGAAACACAATCTCTGGTTCGACCACAAAGAAGCCAGATTGATGATGATGATGATGACTGTTTGGCCGTGACCTTGACTCGAGTGGTACTGCAGTCCAAGTGAGAGCTACATCCGATCGAATCCTCTCACTTGAACAATAATAATTGCTGGAACCACTTTTGCTTCTTCTCGGCCTGTTAGGTCATTAGAGAGGTACCATAAGATATATAAACATTTTTTTGCCTTGTGATTTTGTAATAATTTCTAGATCTAGATTATGTTAACATTATGTAATGTAAATGAGGCAAATGAATTTTGGATTTGACATCTAGTCAGCAATAATAAGAAACAAAGAAATAAAACGCAATTTTTGTCATCTTGCATATGGAATGTGTATAATAATAACACACGTGGATTAAATAATATGAAATGTCAGCTTCTCAGAAAATACAATTTATTATAAATATTCTTGCAATAATAATTGTTTCTTTGTATTTAAAATTAATCACGCCACTTTCAGAATTTTCAAAGTGTTGCATTTAAATATGAGATATTTTGTTCTAAGAAAAATATTTTTTTCCTACATCCATCTGGTTTTAATATCTATTTTCAACACTAATGATCCCGATGGGAGACCACAAGATGGTTCTTTTACCTGATATGGTAGCTAAAACCGGAAAGGCATACCCACCACCATTGGAAACCAACAGCAGATGTTAAGAAATTAAAAAGACCTGCCTGACATCAAGGGAGAGCTTAGAAAGACTTAAAAATCAACCATAAATTAACAAAAAACAATATTATTTTTCAGTTTTTAGGGGGTTTTGGATAATGAAAAATCCCAACTATTAGCTTAAACAAAATTGAACCATTTTTTCAAAACACGTGGTTTCGATAAGAATTTTACCTTGCATTATTATAAGAAACATGGGCCTTATTCACAGAATTAGAATTATCCAAAAATTCCCGATAATCGTACACTTTCAAAGAAAATTTCTTCATTTTCGAGGCACTATCACTACCACAAGCAAACTTACGAAGGCCGACCGACGATGCCGACATTTAAACTACTTCTAATTCTAAGTTTTTTTCGGTATAGAACCAGGTAGTAGGCCCCTCTGACTTTCTAGTATCTAGCTAGGCTCAAGGATCAACCATCAGGCAGGATTTTGACCTGAACGCTACTCTACCTGCTTTTCGTAATGGGTTTTTGGTTGGCAAGAGAGAGAGAGAAAGCAACCAAAAATGGTGACCATGAAGATTGGATTAAATACAAAATTGTTTCAATGCTAAAACAAAAATTACCTGTTTTTTAATAGATTTGTTTGTAATCCTCTCGTGGTAGTTAGATCTGATAGTGTTTTAGGCTTGAACATTTTTGAATCACTAATTTCACAAATTTTTGTAATTGAAAAAAAATCTCGTCATTGAAAATTTAAAGCGATTCTTTTATAGGAGAGAGAAACAAATACCCGACCCAAGAGGAGGACGTGCAAATTCTAACTGAAATTTCAAATTCAAGGCTTCCTCTATTTGATAGCGCAGGAAATATTTCGTTTTTTTTTTTATTGCTATGGGTACGGTTGGTTTATGATTGGTACCTATTATACAGGTGGTATACAAAAATTGATAGGTATATAATATAGTATACCATTTTTGTACCTGATGGCGATTGACGAAAATTTAAAAAGCTTCTTGGTTTTTGAAGCTGAGTAATATCCAAGCGAAGGCTGAACCACTAGTGGAAATCATTGTACAATTTTTTTGGAAATCACATAGTAATCAATCAGGAATACGTAGAAATCACTTGAGAGTCCCTAGAATAGCTAGGAATCTTCTAGGACTCCGTAGGAATCCATTGGATATCGCTGAGAATCATGTGGTAATCGCAGGGAATATCATGACATTCTAATTCAGAAATTGCACATCATACCTTCTAAATGATACAGCGTACCGGTCAAGTGTGTATATCTGCCTTTATTACTAAGTTTTAGGCAACTTGAATGTTAGAGAATTTGATATCCCAACGAGTTTCCCAATAATCGAGTCAATAACTGAATCCAAGACTGACAAGAGTTTAGAACTTGAAAAAGAAGAAGAACGAGAGGAAGATTAGGTCTGTTCTCACAGAAATCACAAACCAGTCTGAGCGTTTTTGATTGGGGCGAATCGCCAACAACCAGTTTTCTGACTATTTTAAACCAATGAAATTCGCTCTGACTGGTTTGTGATTTCTGTGAGAACAGACCTGAAGTATGACAATGTTGTGGATCATAAAAATGAAAACATGAATCTTGAAACATCTCTCGAATTCGACTTGTCAAAAGAAGACACAGAATTTCTTCACACATCAGAGTTTAGTAATTGCGATTCGCTAGGCAATTAAGAGATTATGCAGGGCGACTCAACTTCAATTTGGTACTTTTCAGAAAAGAAGGAACGTTTGCCGATCAAGTATTAAGAGTTATGGAAATCTCCCTGAGGAAGACACAAAAGGAAAAATCGGGAATCCAAGGCAATAAGAACTTGAAAAGGGAAAGTAAAATAAATACTAGGCAGTGCAAGAAGCAGGGAAAATAGCACATTTGGATCAGAAATAACCCTAACTGAACATGTCTCTGATTCAGATGAACATCCTAGTGAAATTGAAGAAATATCCATTATTTTAGATCTATATTATGCAGTGTAGACACGCGATGATATCTAGGGATCAACAACTATTTATACCTACAACAAAATCGGTGTGGGTGTGGACAACTATGAAAATAAAAGTTGCTAACTTTTGGAAGAGTTGCAAATCCAGAAGTTGCCAATTTCTGAGTGGAAACGTGTTTTTAGAACAGAAAAGACTGTCTATTTTGGTCTTATCAATGCGAAACTTAACAATTAGACATCGTTGTCGTGATAAAATCAGCTGGAAATCGGATGATTGTAGGAAATCATCGAAGAAATCAATTGAGAAAGATAAAATATGAATCCCCACAAAAAATGGAAATCACCTGGTAATCATGCAAAAATATCTGAAAATCATTGGAAGTCAGTCGCAATTCTTGGGATGGGAATACATGAGATTCATTGATCAATGATTCCTTTGTAGTCCATGCCTTAGAATATTATTATAGATAAACTACTGAGATTCAGCACTTTGCAAATATACCAAGAGCCTTGCCATCATTTGGAATTATCACTACATATTTTCAAACCAAAAATTTAATCATAACAGGGGCTCATTCACACTATATACTTTCACTAAAACGATTCTCATCCAAACCCAATCAAAGTTCAACTAACTTCACAGTTCAAATTGGTACACAAAGAATAAATTCTGAAATTACCCAAAACTTCTACAAAAATTAAGTAAGTAAGGCAAGAAAATCCAAAAACAAATTACCTTTCAGCTTCAGACAATTTTGCCCCCCCAGCAGGACGAACATCTTCGAACAAATCCAAAAAATCGTACTCAAATATCTTCATTCTAACACTTTGCACTTCGAAATTCCAAACACAAATCAGTAAAACTTTCACCCGTTTCCAGTTTATACGAGGTAAAAGTTCATACCTGGGCCATAGTAAAACGAAAGAAAAGAATAATTATGATAAGGAAAAGGTTCAAATAAAGGTATGCAAATAATGTTCGTATATAAAGAGGCAACTTTCACAAGAAATATTTCAAATTTTCCACAGTCTTTTGAAAGATTATTTTATATAAAAATAGCTTGGGCACTTAAATTTCAGGTAAGCAAAATTTGTATCCATTTATGGTGGATCGTTGTAGAGTAATAATCATTAGGCTTAAGGACCTGCGGCGTTTCCCAAAATCTTTTGATCAGGCTGACCCTTAGATACCTTCGATGTAGGATTAAAAATATTGGACTGAAAAAACCTTTTGACTGATGATAAAATTTTTCATATGAATAGAATAAGGTGCAGTCACGTGATTTTTACAGTTTTCGAAACGTTTCAGGAATGGCAAACCATATGAGCTAAAATGTTTACGGTTTCGGGTTGGCTCGTTACGTTTTTGTATTCCGAAAGTGCCATTACGACAGGAAATCGTTAAATAAACAACATAATGGGACACATGTAGGTATACGCTGGCCATTTTTAATTTTAGGACATTGGGGATGGTTCCTTTATTCAACAAACGGTAAATTTTAATAGGAATCTTTACACGCCCACTCTAGAAAATTGCATTCAAAGACATTCTACTCGGTTAACACATTAGTGTCATGAAAAAACGTCCAAGCAATACAGGAAATTGATGGATGTATTCAATGCATAACATAGTGGTTACTGGCGAACAACAGATGTTTGCAGATCGGTTAGATAGTTTGTTTTTAATGGAAAACCGTCAATGCCAATAATAATGACAAAATCATTTTGTATTAATAGTTATTTACATTACAAGTGCGTTTATAAACATGATTACAATAACGAGTGTGAAAGATTAGAACGACGAGGTCGTAGACCCAGACCGTAGACCCAAATTTCTGAAATTCAAATTTTGTTTCTGACCATGGTTTCTAGAAATT